AGTTTTGCGTCAACCCGGATTTGGCTTTTGAAGCTTGTCAGGAATTGACACTGCTTGGTTGTTGTTATTTTTTCCTCCCGATGCTGTCTGTCTCTCTATCGTCCTTCTCAGAAGCAAGCTGGCAGGGCCTAGCCAGCCGGGTCTGATAATAACCCCGTCTCTCCCTAGCTCGTCTCGGAGAGGCTGTTGGCGTTGCCGTGGGTGCCGTACCGCGGGGAGGAAGTCTGGCCGCGGTGGTTGCAGCTTGCGGTCGCGAATGTCCTCGCCGCACCTTCCGAAAAACGCAGGCGTCCTGTGTGTGAGAGAGAGAGAGCTTCCCGCTTTCAGTGGAACTGAAGCGGGCGGGAACCTGGTGCTTCAAACAACCATTCGCAACTGCGAAAGCGCGGCTGTTTGTGTAAGCAGTTTTGAGTGTGGATGTGTGTGTACACTTCTCAGAAGCCAACAATAAATAGTGTCGCACCGAGCGGGGGACGGGGAAATCCGCTTGACCTTTTCTTGTGATCAAGATGAGCCTTCTCAAGGCGTGTCTGAGTTACTTGGAAGTTCACCTTGTGGACGAGCATGTGCCACTCAAGCAGAAGGGCACTCGGGTCTCCACTGCCAATGTCCGGACTTGATTAGTCCAGAACAATATCATAATTCAGCCACTGACTCCACACACCCAGAAGGACGAAGAAGGACTGGAAATGGTTCAGACCCACTCCTCGAAGACATGCATTGTGGCATTTTTCACACCTGGCACTTTGATTTGACTACGATTGTTTTCTGAGAGGGCGTCACAGAGGTACTGTGGTTAGCATTACAAGTAGGGAGCTGCGTCAGCACGCGTAGGCTGCAGAGGAACAAGTAAAGGTTTATTCCATGCTGAAAAGAGAAGACAATTGCCACCTTGGGCCCTGGTGTGAATGTGTTTGTGTCTGCCCTGTGATGGGTTGGTGTCCCATCCAAGGAGTGTCCTGCCATGTGTCCGTTTTTGGCTCTTCCCCGAGACCATAAATTGGAAGAAGTGGTTAGCAGGATGATGTTCCAGCCTGGGTTATCCGAATAGCCGGCAGTGGCTGCGATTCCCCGGACAGTGGCACACAATCAGCACAGCACTGTGGGTGGGCAATAGCTGGACAGTATACTCCAGGCTTTCAACACCATAGTGACTCCTGGAGTGTAACAGCAAAACTCTTCTAGTCAGTGCTCACTCACTTGTTGCGGGCTGTGGAGTTTCATAGTGCATGCTGGGATGCACGTCTCTGTCAGGTGAGCATGTCAGAGGTGGGGGCCTGTAGGGCTTTGCTCTGATGGGCGATTCTAATTTTGGTGAACCAAAAATGTAAAAATCATTGGTGCCTTAAACAGTAGTGAATTTGAATGCTACTGGATGTAGTAAAGCAGGAAGAGGAGATAAACTATGTTACTGGTGAACCGTTTAGGAATATCTTAATCACTCATGCACCATGGTCTACAGAAATCCACTTTCACATTTTCAGATTAGCTTTCAGATTCAGAGAGTTTCAGATCAAACTCGCATAACTTCTGAAAGGTATATTGAGAGATCAGGACTTTCCTAAATTGTCAACATATGATTTCATTTCTTTTGTGGTTCTTAAATGTGAAGAAATTGTCCTTATGATTCAGCCAAGACTTTAAACAGTCCCACAGAATGCAGTTCACGGATGTGAAAGGAAGGCCTTCCTTACCATCACATTTTCAGGTTTGACAAAACACTGCAACTAAGTGCTTTCAACCCTAAAAGAAATTCAAGTTTCTTTCATAAGCAGAACACAAACCACAGTAATCAACATGCTAATGAGTTCCAAATATCTAGTGAATGCAGATATTTTTGGGCTGTGGTTTGAGTAATGACTCATGTTTTCATTAGTGAGTTTCTAGACCAGTCATTTCAAGGGTACACTTTTACTACCTTTTAATTCAACATTGAGATGTCCCAAAACATAAAACCACACATTTATGACAAAAACGAAGATTCTAGCACAGAATAACCCAGACCACATTTGAGGTTTCATTTATCATGGCTGGGCTTACATTACCTGTGACTGTCCTTCTGTTAGTCTTCTGCCTACAAATTGTGTTCGGCTGTAGTCCTTCTCATTGTTTATTTTTGTATACTGCAAGAAAGCATCATATATTGTGTTTCCAATTAATGACAGTCATTAATAATAATTACTATTATTGTTTTAGAGAATGCAAACAAGTTAATGGTCAAGTAGGATTTCAGGTTTCTGTTTTCCATCCATCCATTTTCTAACTTATTTATCCAATACAGGGTCTCAGGGCAGCCAGAGCCTGGCCCAGCAAGCAACAGGTGCAAGGCAGCAAACACCTTGGATGGGACTCCAGTCCATCACTGGGCACACACTGACACAGACACACATACACTCACACCAGGGCGAATTTCCCAGAAGCCAGTTAAACTACCAGTATGTCCAGACTGTGGGAGGAAACTGGAGCACCCAGGGGAAACCCACACAAAAATGAGGAGAACATGCACACTCCATGCAGACAGCACGCAGACAGCACCCCAGGAATTGAACCCAGAGCCCCAATGCTGCAAAGCAATGCTAACTAGTTCACCACTGTGCCACCCATTTCTGTTATCAATAAAAATGATAATGAGTACTATTACAATTGCTAACCCTAAAGAAGACAAGACAATAAAGGCAGCTGTCATAACAATAATAATAATAATTGCTTACACTTATATAGCTCTTTTCTGGACACTCCACTCAAAGCGCTTTACAGGTCATGGGGACTCCCCTCCACCATCACCAATGTGCAGCATCCACCTGGATGTTAGTAACTGAAAGCTATTTTACTCTCTGTTACAGCTTCTTTTAATGGATCAATTAAGAGGTTCATTCCAAACTGAGAAGTGGGGAACTCTGCTTGTTCCTCTGCAGCACGCTTCAACCAGAAAAGGTACTTCCTCCACCCAGCCACCAGAACAGGGTGGGTTCTATCGACAAGGTGTCATGTGGTCATGTCATTATGTGACTGTTGACCAAGATTCCTAAGCAGCAGCGACAAATGAGAGGAGGGCATTTGGCCTATCTAGTTCGCTTGGTAATTAGCTAATTGATACCAGGATCTCACCCAGCCATTTCTTGAAAGAAACCAAGACATTGGTTTGACATTGTAGCAGGGTAGTTTGTTCCATACTCCTACAACCTTGGGAGTGAAGAAGCGCCTCCTGTTTTCAGTTTTAAACACACTACCACGCAGTTTCCACTTGTCCCCCCTGGTTTGTGTTTCATTGATCATTCGAAAGAAATCTGCCAGGTTGACTATGTTAAGGTCTTTGAGTTTTCTGAGTGCTAGAATCAGCTCACTATAGTCTTCTCTATTCAGGACTGAAAATGTTCAGTTCTTTGGCCTATCAGCGTAGCACATTCCTGAAGAAACTAAATCCTTTTAGACTTGAAGTGCTGTGACCTCACAGGCACCTGCAGCCTTTCAGTGACATCAGCAAGGCTTGCGCCTCTCCTCCAATCAGCACTAGCTCTCCTGTGAGGCATCGTGGAGCTTGGAGCATCTCAGAAAATGATTGGTTTGATGAGCTGGAAGGGGGAGGGGCTCGTGGGAAATTGTCTGTCCTATTTTATTCTCATCGTACTGCAAAGGAGCCATCACTCTCAAGGCGAAATGCAAAAAAAAAACTGTTGATTCCAAAAATCACATAGGTATACATGCACTCATTATCATTCAACAGTCTTACTTTCAATCCCTTGTCTCATCTTGTCATTTATCTTATCTATTCTTCTTATCCACTTACTAACCACTTAGAACATTGTTGCTTCACTCTTCCATGCATTAATGTTTTTTTTTGTTTTTGCTTTTCAATGTTGGAACAAGCTAGATGCACACATCAGGCTTGCTTCACCCCTGACTACCTCTAGTGTCTTTTCACACTTCTCCTGCACCTGCTATTCCCAGACATTGTCTGCCCCTCTATCTGCCAGTCATCATTAGCACTGAATGACTTAATACCAGCTACATTAATATTAATATTAATGTTGTTTTATTTGGTTTTTATTATAATACCTTATTGTTTACTTTGTTACTTATTCTGTACCCCTTTTTTGGACTGTATTTTCTAATTTCAATAGATTATGCTGTAAACCTATCCTTTATTTTATTGCCTCTTATCGCAGTGTATGTTACTTTGGGTGGAGTAGAAATTGTACTATAAGATAAACATTATTATCCCATAGAGTTTTTTTTTTTTATTGACACACAGCACTTCTGTACAACTAATTAGAATAATTACACATCACATCTATATGCCCAAGTCGGTTGTACAAATTTTGATTCTTTCATGTAAGTCACCTTGCATAAGGGCTTCAACTTAACAGACGCTTAATGTTTTTTAATACATTCGTTTATAATCATTAGTAGAAAACATATAACAATAATTAAAATTTTAAAAATGTGTACGTGGGAATAGGTAAAATTTTATTCCATGCTGAAAGGAAAAGAAAAGAGGCACAATATTTAGGCTGTGAAACCTCCTTCACATCTGAAGGCTCCACGTGGAATAAACCTGTTCCTTCGCAGCCTACGTATGCTGACGCAGTTACGTACTTGTAGGTATACATAATGTATACATACATTATAAGAATAGTTACTGGTACTTAAATACTTAAAAGAAACAAAAGAACACAACTTAAAATGTTACAGGTTCGTTAAGCTTTCTGCTTTTTGACGTTTTGAATAGTTTTAACATACAATTCCATTTATATTTTAAGCGGATTAATATTTGGAGAAGACGCTGGCCATTTATTTTCATGGATATTAGTATAACAACATAATTAGTAAAACAAACTTTTATGATGGCTATACATCCGTTCTATTTTTTAAAAAATGTCATTTTTAAACAGGCACTCATCGGTCACCCCTCACTAATCCGTTGCTATGGATTCCGTCCCATGTACGGAAGCCGAGCAGGGTGCGGCCCACAGGGTTTATTTGGCGAGTAATAGAGAAAAGGCGAGAGGAAAATTGTGCAAGAGAGAGAGGGGGGGCGGCCATTCCTGGTCGAAGTTCGGGCTGTAGACCAAGACATCAACAATAACAAACTCCAAATTGAGGAGCAATACATATATTTCCCACGTTGAAACCACCATGAGTTTGGATAAAGCTGAGCTGTGTGACTCGTTGTTAAACTGGGTAAGACATTATCTTTTTCTTAGATTTTTCTCCCGGCGTTGGACGCTAGGATGGATAAAGACAGTCAGGAGAAACCTGACCCTATCCGTGCATGACTGGCTTGTGTGAAGCAGTTCGTGTGAGAGAAACAGGTGGTAAATGCCCTCCGAGGAAATTTGATATTTAATTTGAACCGACTGCAGATCATGAAGACGGGAAAACCGTGCGTGTAGAAAATTCTACAGTTCTGTAATATTCTCAAACGAACCCCAAGAAAACCATGAGTAAAATAAGAGATAAATAATTCATTTTTTCCTATACCACAGTGGCTATGGTATTCGTTAGTTAAACCTTTTTTTTTTTAAATGGTCACTAGATTTACAACACTTTTCACTTCTACTGGGGATTTTGAAGGCATAAATGTATATCGAGGTCAGCCAAATGTATATAAAGCTATACATGTGCCTGTTAACAACAGCAACAAATGTGCATTGTAGCCATTTGTTTTGTGTTTGTAATGCCTCCCAGAATATATTTTTCATTTTGGGCTAGAACGAGCTTTTGTAACTGTCACAGCCCAAGCATATCAAGGCAAATCAAATTAAAATAAAAAACCGTAGGCATTCATTTAAGCTTGCGTGCGAAGTTTATTCAGCCGAGTTTTTTGATCCAGTTCACTGCGCAATAGCTATCCGAGTTTTAGTTGTTAAAGTCCATTACAAGAACAGGCAAATGCGTTCTTGCGTCGTTACAAAACAAGGAATACAGGTTCAGCCTTTAATTTAGAGCGTTATATTCACAGGATTTTTTGCTTTGTTGGGTTATTTACAGAAAATGAAGGCACAAGACGGACAAAAACGCCAGGCAAAAAAACAAACAAACCCATCTGAAACAAAACATTGGTACAAAAAGCAGATGGAAGCGATAGCTGTTTGGCCATATTTTTTAATTTGGCCTGGTTGAAATCAAAACCTGAGCTCCTCCAGCCATTGCAAAATCGAAAAGCTGACTTTGGTATTTGTAATTGAGGGGTCTGTAACTAAATTATACTGGCAGATGCATTGGAGGATTTTGATATGGTATTTAAAAACAAGTTCAAACAAGGATGCCAAATCTCCTAATCTGTAGTCATATTTGGAAATAAACATTAGTTTTGCTGACTTCAGATTTCATGCCTTAGGGGTCTCATTGGAAGTGGGTGTTAATCTTCAGCATCATATATGTAATAAGGGAGTAGTTTTGCAGTCAAGCAACACCTGTGTGAAGTACTGTAGGAGCTGTCATATCTTGGATAGTGTGGAATTGCAAGGATTTTTTGGGTGGATTGTGTTTTAGAAAGGTTCAATCATGATCCCACAGGTGGCAGTTTCTCACCACTGGCTCCTCAGCCAATCACAGATGCCAAATGTTTGCACCTCCAGTTCCTCTTGTATTAAGCAAGAGTACTATAGATGCAGGGCTGTTCAGATATCTCAGTGCTGCATAATAGGAGAGTTTCTTAAAAAATAGGTGGTGTGCAGAGGCCCTGTGTCTGAACACAGTGTGTATGTGTTGTAGACACCAGGGTCCCCAGTTCCGGTCTATCCTGCTGTCAATCCAGCTCTCTGAATTACTAATAGCTAAAAGAATGTAAAGAATGTATTTGCCCAGTTCAATTCCTTTGGTTTTCAGATACTTACAGAGTTCAAGATTAAGATGAGGTATAACTTTCAAGTCTCAATAATATTTTAAATTGAAGCTCCGTACAAATGTGAAATATGTCGCATTTGAAGGGTCCCAGGTTGTGCAGTCACAATCAAAACTCTTTTTTTTGGACCAATAACCATTTTCTGTCTCTTTCCTTTTTTTCCCTCCCCCAGCTGCAGATATTTCAAGTGCCCTGCTGCACCAGCAAACAGGACCTGACCAATGGAGTTGCCATTGCACATGTGCTGCACAGAATGTAAGGTCATGTAAATGAGGGTGGGGGGTCAAAGGTCATGAACAGGTGGATTGGTTGGCAGGGGTAGTAAATCCTGGACCTGTGAAATAGCTCCAGTGTTTTTGGCTTTATTTGCAAAGTTAGGTCTCAGATACTTAACTGAATCAAGTGGTGGTTAAATTAGCTTCTTAAAGATGTGTATTCGTTCTGAAAGAGTAATTAATTAAACCAGGGGTCTGGAGTTCATAACATACAAAGTAAACTTCATGTATTGTTTTCTTCACTTTCTTATTGACACCCTCCCAGTTTTTATGCACATTTACAAGTACTGTATAAAAAGAAAAACAAATAGTTTTGATACTCCCCATTAAGTGAAAAGTGCAGTAAATTTATCTACATGTCGTTTGACAATCATCCAGAGGTGTGGTTGAATCTTAATATTTAATAAATAGATAGGTTCCCTCAGTTATAAAAAAACAAAACTCCGGAATGCCACACGGAGTCAGACATTTATTAATATTTAAGCAGCCTTATCAGTAGCTTTGTTAATCGGGGTTGTGGGTTTAGTCAAAGTTAGTGGTGTGATTTTGGCTTGCTGTGTGTGTTGGCTATGTGAGCGTGTCATTTGTAATGTTGTATCTGTGAGTCCCTGCTAAAGCCAGAGTTTATCTTTCAAATGTTTGGATGCAGGAGCCTAATGTAACCCATATAACATCTCTTAATCTAAACAAGTTAATAAAACGTCATGAATTTTGGAATGAATGGTGACTCATGAACCAGAAGGCACAAGTGGAAAGCAAAGCCAAAGGTGGGAGGGATGTGGGAGTGTGGAACAGCCATGATGTTGAAGCCAATTGCCTATTTCTTTCAAGAAAGGAAAGGTTACAAACAAGACGAGGCTATTTGGTCCATCTGGCCTATTTGATGTAACTTATTGATCCAAGAATCTCATCCAGGCTTTCTTAAAGGAAGTCAATGGATCTACTTAAGCAAATTGGCTGGCCAGCTTGTTTCACACTCCCACAGCCCTTAGTGTAAAGTACTTCATGTTTGTGGCCAGTTAGATGAGTAAAGTCAATAAGTTATCATGAGATCAGGTCCATAAGGTCCCAAAATACCATGGACATTTTGTAAAGAATTTCCTTCTGTTTTGTTCTTGGTTTTAAATGCACTTCTCTGTAGTTAACCTGATTTTCTTCTTGATACCTGGGTTTCCCAGCTCTGCTGCAGACCAAAGGTGGTGGCTGTTCTGTAATCCTCCCCCTGTTCCTCTATGCTTTTCAGAGACTCTTCCTGGTTCAATGAGGCGTGGCTTTGTCGAATCAAAGAGGAAAGCAACACCAACTGGAGGTTGAAGGTATGGAAGGGGCAGAGATCTTGGTCTTTGTAGAAAGCAGCAAGGAAGTCCTGGGGTTGAAGGTAAAGGGGTTTCTTATTAGGACGTTCACTGGTTCAAACCCCAGGATCACTGCGCCGTTCGGCGGCAAATTCAGTAAGTGTCAACTGAACGAGGAATTCTGAAGTGACTGACATGACTGCGTTACGTTTGTAACGAAATGTTTTCAGTTGCGTTTAGGTTTCCTCGCCTTACAATCTTCAGCGGGTGACATTAGAATGATTTTGAATGTCAAACATGGAGGGTTCATTCACTTCCTAGGAATGACTATTCTTAAGTAATCAATCAGCTTTTTGGTCATGAAGGTAGTTCATTCTCTTGTGAGTCTGTCTAAGTCTCTTCTAAGTCACCTTCAGTGAGGTGCTGCTGGAAAAATAACTGACTACCAGGTGTGTGATGGTGTAATTTCTCGGAATGACTATGGGCTGCAGACTGCTGTAAGATCCCTACTGTGTTAACTGGAACAGCCTTAATGTGCAGGGTATATATGTAATAAGGAGCAGCAAAGCACAAACCAGAGCTGGCACAAACTCCTCTGTATCTGGTGGCTTGCAGATGCAGGCCCTGAAGTAGATACTCATAAAGAACATTGATGTTTAGATGCTAGGAAATAGTATATTTGGAGGAGGGGAGGGGGGAGTTCATTTCAGCAATTTTTTCCAAGGAGTTTTTTGTGTCTCTGTGTGGGTGCAAGTCATTAAAATGGCAATGGTGATCTCGGTGGGATTTGAGGGAAACGTTTTTGGAAATAGATGTCCTCTTTATCTCAAGAACTATGCTTCCCTCACTTATTTGTACTTCCTTGGACAGTTTCTCTCACAGAGCACTGTCTGGCCTTGCTGTTTTCCAGTTTCAGCACCTGTTTGTGGCGAATGCCATCTGTGGAGGCAGGCTTATGTGTTGCTTTTGTTTGTCCAGCCTGTGAGCATTGATACTAACTACTTCTGTTTCCACAGGTGAGCAACCTGAAGAAAATTCTTCAGAGCATGCTGGAGTACTACCATGACGTGAGTACCGTGTTGGGTGTCCATAGAGTTCTTTCAAAGAACAGCACCTCAATATGCGCTTTCTTGTCATGAATGTAATTCATTTTATTTAACAGTTTTGGTCTGTATTATATCTGAGCCTCCATCCGCAACCTTGTTACAGAGTGAAAACCTGGAACTTGATGGCAGATTCTTCTGTCTTCCTGAAGGAAATCTGCCATTAAGTACTGTGTGCAGAAACTGGTGGATGAGTTGAAAGATTTTATCCAGGGTAGGGTAGCATGTTGGTGCAATGGTTAGTATTGCTGCCTCACGGTGCTGGGGCCTGGGTTCAATTCCGGACCTGGGTTTCTAGCTGGGTGCAGTTTGTATGTTGTCTCCTTTTTTGTGTGGGTTTCCTCTGGGTGCTCTGGTATCCCCCCACTGTCCAAAGACAAATTGGTATATTAATTGACAGCTGGTCGTGTGTCCCTGTCCTGGACTGATGTTCTGTCCAGGGCGTACCCAAGCCTTGCGCCTCTTGCCTCCTGGGATAGGCTCTGGGCCCCCCGTGACCCTGTATTGGATAAAGAGGCTGAATACTAATGGATGTAGGTGTTTATCCTGATGGGTTTCCCCCTGTGTCTCCTGCCCCTGGTGTGAGTAGGTGCTGGGTCACCAGGTGTCAGACGTCCACCTGCCTGACGTGAACCGCATTGGCGAGATGAGTGACGTGACGGAACTGGGCAAACTGGTGCAGCTGGTGCTGGGCTGTGCGGTCAGCTGCGAGAAGAAGCAAGGTGAGCCGGTAGTGAGGGGGGGCAACATGGCACTGCCCAGTGGGACCCCACGTGCAGGTTTCAGGGAATGAAAGTGGTTGGATTGGTGCTCACGTGGCAGTTGCAAGACTTCCCTGGTGCACTCATCTGTGCACAAGACCATCTTGTTCGCTCACGAGGAGCACCCCAGCTGTCGGCTCTTGAGTGTCTGTCTCTGTTGCAGAACATATCCAGCAAATCATGACCTTGGAGGAGTCTGTGCAGCATGTGGTGATGACGGCAATCCAGGAGGTGAGGTCTGCGTGTGCGTTTTTTCCTATCTGTATTATTTTGCATTGCCAGAATTGCAATCCTCATTTCAAAGAAGGGAGGAGGTCAAGTTATGTTTCTCCAAATAAGGGCTTTTTGTAAAGATTTATATATTTTTTTACTTCCAATAGGGATTCATTTTATGTTAAACTAGAAAAATAAAGTGATATACAGTTTAATGTGTTCAGGAAGTTTGATTAACCTTGAAAGAGTTTTGGAAATCTGTTTTTAGATATTTAAAACACTTAAAAAACAAAACAAAAGAAATAGAAAATACCAACATCCAGCCAAAGAACCAACAGCCCATACTTTCTTATGCAGTTCGGCATTATTCCTCTTGAGATAAGAGTAGAGTTGAAATCTGTGATGGTGGTAATCACAGATGATTAAATGTGTAAAACAATTGGGGATAAATCAAGTCCAGTTTAAACATAAACTTAAGACTTAAATTTTACCCACCCTGAACACACAGCTGCAGACGTTAAGAAAAGCCTGGAAAACTGCTGACTTCACTTGTAAGGCCTTGAAGAAGGAATCCAAGAGGGAGTGAAAATGTAACGTCTGGGAAAAGACATTTGACACGGGGGTGTAGGAGGGAGGGACTATGGGAAGGCTGTGTACACGACCAAAGCTTTGTTTTAATGCCTCTGTTTGTTCTTGCTATCATTACATAGCTGTTGACCAAGGACACAGTGGACACTGGAAGCCCTGAAACATATGGAGACTTTGACTATCAGGTGTGTGTTGCTCCGTGTTCTGGCTCTTCTACAAACCCCTTCTTCAGGAACGGGATGAGTTTGCATAGACCTCATCAGGTTAGGATCAGGATAGCAAACACAGTTACAAAACTGCAGACGACAATGATGTTATAAGAGTGAGGCCTTTGCACACATACTCATGTAAAAATGAGATGTATTGGGGGGACAACATGAAATGTAACAACACAACAATAAAAGGTAGCTCTAGCCCAGCAGTGCTTTATATGTGAGCAGTGTTGCTATGCTAAATCTGACAGTGAACCAGTGTAATTTATGCAGGATGGAAGTTATACATTAAGACAGTAGTTTTAAGTGGCACTTGAATCACATACACCTTTTCTGAACATAGTAAAGTCCATCTTGTGTATTAACAGATATCCCAGTAAGTAAGGCACTACTGTAGTTCTGTACCTCAGTTCTTGATATAAACGCATGTATCAATATTTGAGCATCAGATAGCTGTTAGCTGCCTGATGGGATTTTAATATTCTGTTGTGATGCTAAGGATTCTTCCATTGTCAATTACTTACATTCTCCTCCTTCCTTTCTGATGTGTCTGTTTTACTATGTCAGTCCCGGAAGTATTATTTCCTCAGTGAGGACATGGAGGAGAAGGAGGATCTTACCCAGCGATGTCGGGAACTGGAGCAGCAGGTAGGACCAGCTTGGGGTCATGGGAGGGGTCAGAGTGCATGGGTCACGCAGGCATGTGGAGTGTGATACCCAAACCAGGCTTCCCCCTTTTTAGAGCAATTGGCTGCTAAATGATTTCTTTAATTCTTAAAAAAGGTTTTTGTTAATTCTAATTATAAAACCCTTTATCTACAACTGTATTAACTAGTAGACTTATTAACTGGTGCTGCTTGGTTGGTTCACTACTTTCACTTTCACGAGACATGGTCATATAGTGTGATATTCTATGACATTAGTGTCATATAAACACTAATGTGGAAGCCTTTGTAAGCCCAAAGCTATGCCAGTGTGCAATTTGACTTTGCAACACTGATTATTTCCTCCAAAATAGCAGAAACTTTGTAGATCATTTTAAAGAAATTAATTGCTTGCAATTATTTAGCACATTTTGTACCAGAGGATGCCAATACACTTCTACATAGAGGAGGGAACTCACTTCAACCATCATGGACCACATCTGGATGATGATTTTGAATTTCTCTGTTATACAACTTAGATCCTGTAGTTAAACCATTGTGCAGATGCCCTGTTACATAACAGCTAATTAAACTCTTCTTTAGAAGCAGTGCAAGCTTTTTTTTGCTTTGAAGACTAAAGATATGACTTAGGAATGAGATCTGCTATTTTATTTTTTGTGTGATTCTAAAGAGCGCTGTTTGTCCCATAAAGATGTACTTTGTAAGGGTCGAAGTTCGCAGTCAGGCAGTGTTAATGGCAGTGAGGTAAGTGTGTTGGCTGAAGAAATTCTGGCTTGTCTAACCAACAACGAGCGCTGTCGCACGCACGTGACTCACCCCTCACTCTTCCTTTCTCTGTCCTTATCTCGCTCAGAGCTCTCATAGGCCTGCAAGCACGATTTCAGGAGACTTTAAATATCATTCATTGCCAACACATCAGCTGTGCCAACAGGTGCATGGTTCAGGGTTCAGGTTTACTTATTCTCATTCTGAACCTTGCTTTTAGGTAGTGTATGAATATTTGAATAATGTGCCTCTGAAGGGAGGTCTTGTACAATGCACTAGCTCTCCTATAATTGCGGTTCCGTTCTCTGGCCCTCTGGAGACTATAGAAAAGCAAGGAATCGGGCCCTGTATATCAGAGCAAGCGGTCACCTGCAGAAACCATGAGGGCCGAGGACCGGATTCAGGGAGACTTGTGCATTTCACCTTTTGACTAATCGGAAAGCAAGCTCTAGAACAAGTGCAAAAGGTTCAAAATCTAAACTCTGCTTAGGCGGCTGATGTGTTAGGAATTATATTTGAAATCTTTTTGATGGTCAGAATTAATATTTTATAAAGCACTGCAAATATGAATTTAGGACCTAGAAGGGTACTACTGGAAGCAGAATTATTTAGCAATTTTTATTGTGCATACAGGTGTGACATTACCTTTACCTGTATGCTGTGAAGCCATATGGTATAGTATGTAGTTTTTTTTATTCACAGCTGTGTGCACTCAGTATCCAAAATGGCACACTCTCCCTCAGGGAAATGCGCAAACTACCTCGGTGAAACGCAGTACGTTCATCCGCTTTCCATAGCAATGAATACCAATGTCATCTGAAGGTCAGATGTCTTGGAGCTTTGCGGAATATGTATCCAGTTCCAGCTCTGCTCCTGCTGCAGTTGGAAGAGGCCCAGTTTTGCTCGTTATTTACTGGGTGTTGCTAATATTCTGGCCAGCAGGTGGACTAATTGCACCAGCACTACGAACATCGAAATGGATTCGAAATCCGTTAAAGCCATGTTCCTGTGTCCGGTGCAGGTGTTTAAGGAAATGGCTTTTTCACATGCAGATGGCTGGTTCCGGCTCTGGTACTGCACAGACCCCTTATGCGTGGCCCTTTGAATGAGACAAACCCAGGGTGCGATATACAGTGCCTTGCGAAAGTATTCGGCCCCCTTGAACTTTTCAACCTTTTGCCACATTTCAGGCTTCAAACATAAAGATATA